TAACATTTCATGCATATAACCGTCACATTAGTAAAGAAAGTACAAACAATCTGTAAAACCCATTCACTGACTTCATTTCAAATACAATAATTCCCTATACTTGCCCAAAATCCAAAAAACTTACCTTGTGCACACTATAACTCACTCTATGCTTTCAGTAGCTCTGCCTGGAGATTATATAGATCTGTAGCCCCTCCCACAAAGAGAATTGCCAGAGGTTCTCTGAATGGGAAACTCCTCTCTCTTAAGGAAATAAAACCAATTAGGTCTTAGTTACTTTTCACCTACAAAAAATAATTCCTGACTCATGCTGACTATGTACGAACGTAAGATAGATGAGAGGTCATGATGAATGGGAACACCTGTTCCTGCACAAAATGGAATGCTTCCTCTTTTCACTGCTTGGCAACCTGTTAGTTAAAAATAATTGTGATGGCTGAAAAGCTCACAAAGTTTAGAAGAATACTGTTGTCCCAGTCAGACTTTCATTTTAATATTTCATGGATTTCTACTTTTAACCAATTGCCGCTTTACAACATCGACTAATTCTGCTTGAATCCTTCATAAGCTTCTGTCCCGTGCTTAGTGATGGGGATATTCCTTCAGGACATTTCCACTGAATTTCATTCCTGCACATAGGAGAGTTTTTTATTCTTTTCCTGTCCAAACTGTTTCCCAGAATTTGACTTTCTGAAAATGCTCACCAAAGACAACTGTAGGAGGCAGTGAACGAAGTACAGCACGAGAAGGCAAACTGCCCTCTGCACTCCTGATACGTTTTGGTGACAACTGTATTGATTTCAAAAAGTCAATGCAGCATAAACTCCCATGAACCATCCTGCCTATCTAGCTGGTTAGTGCTGTTGTAACCATTACCTGCAGTCAAGGTCAACATCTCTATAAAATTCTGCTGAATTTCCTAATTGCCAGCTGGGATATTTTTCCCGTGTTACACATGCAGGTTGTATGAATTATAGTGTGTCAAATAAAAAACCTCAAGTTGTTTATAGTACAGGGGGCTCTCTTCTTCGGATCCTTCCTGTTCATGTACTTGGCTGCTTTGTAGATGAAAATGATCCTCACCCCATCAGTCTCCACCACTGGTACCTGAGAGACCAATGTAGTCCATGGCTTGATGTAAAAATAAGCTTAACACTTTATTTAGAGCTAGAACCACAGGAGGATAAGGCATCAAAACAGTCACCACTGCAATGGACTGTCTTTCAGGAGGTGCCTGGTCCCTGAATGGAACCCTCTGTACCCCATATGGCACAGAAAGAGAGCCAGGCTTCCCAGAAGGGCACTCCTCACTGACAGCATATCCTGTAGCCTCTGCCTTCTTGTTTGGGCTCCTTTCTTTCTTATGGTTCTCTGTCTCCTTCTTACATTTGGGGACATTCTTCTCTCCAGCCTCCAAAAGCCTGCAGTGTGGCTGAGTCACCTATGCAGAGGTGTCCATGCCACTGTGCATGTTCCATGGCACCTGCTGGCTTCCAGCTGCTGCTCCACAGAGCCTGGCTCTGCAGCCTGTGCTCTGGCACCATGGCCAGCCCTACAGGGCAGCCAGAGAGAGCCCCAGGCCTCTCTGCTCTGTGCAGCAGAACCCCATTCCTGGTATTGCTATGGAAGCACAACCTGCACACATTTTGTTTTCTGTTAACATCCAACTCAAAAGAATTTGTTCCTATTTTATAATGAAACAGAACTCTGCCTAGGAAGGTTTTCTTTGCTTGCTTGAGAAATAACAGCTTTCCTCTCTAGCCTTCTTGGAGCGCTGAATTTTGCTGTTAGCAAAGTTTTTTTGAAGAGGAGCAGATCAAACTCCACTGCTGGAAACAGTGTTTCCTGCAATTTTGGACTGAAATGACTTATGATGCAGAATCTCAGATAATGTGGAAGAAGGAAGCTTTTCCTGCATAGACATGTGCACCAAGGTGCATCTGGTAGCATTCCACACACTCAAACTCACACTTAGGTAGCTTGGCTGGATTAATAATTTGTAGGCCTGGCCGTAATGAACTCTAGAAGATAACCCAGGTGTAATGACTACTCCTACAAGGACCTGACATCCACTGTGTCAGAGGACTGCAAGGTAAGAAGACTTGAGTTTAAGCATGAAAGTTAATCACAGTGTAGACATCTTGGGAAAACTCCTCTCACCTGACTAGGTAGACACCTACATTAAGCAGTCCAAACTCCATCCCTAAGCCCTACAACCAGGGCTGACGGAAAAGCCATCTCGGCCTTGTCCCTGGAGTCTTGTGGAGCGGTTGTTTCTGTTGCAAAATGTGGAATACGTAAAAATTTTCCTCAGAAAGGGTGTTCTCTGATGTTTGATCTTTGTCCACTTTCAAGCCTAACCAAGAGGAAAGGAGATTTAATGCGTGAAACAGATGGCAGCTAAGAAGCCAGTTCTAAGTGAAAGAAAAATTATTATTGTTAGAATTGCCTTGTTAAGGTTTAGGGCTCAACAGGTTTCAATGATCTCAGACCTGGCAGGGGGTGTTAACAAAGCTTGGAAAGAAGGATGTTCCACTGCTAGTGGACACAAAGAATGCAGAATTTCTGGGTCACAAGGACATTTGGCAAGAACTGCCAAGGTAAAGAAGAAACTAATAGATACAGCTCAGCAACTGTGATGAATCAGCTCCAGGTGAAAGGTAATTGTGGCAGGGGTAGATTGCGACCATCAACTTAGGGGCCGCTGAGCCAAGAAACCCATTGTCAGAGACTGAAGTGTTTGATGATTTATGCATTCTAGCAGACTTTTGCAGGCTTTTGACTTTTTGATGGGCAACTGGGCCCATCCCCCCTCCTCCAGCGCAGAAGATGTCAAGCCCCGAAAAGGCGGGAAGAGCCGAGCTTGCAGGCTTTTGACTGTTCCACTGTACCTCTGATAGCCCATGAGAGCCCATCCCCCCCGCCAGTCGGGAAAAGGGCGGGAACCAGGCCAGACACAGCAGCTCTTGCGCAGGGCCCAGGGAGAGGTTGGAGGCATGGCCCGTGACACTGACCATGGATATGATAATTCATAACTTCTTGGAGTGTGGGGGCTTCCCTCCTTCACCCCCAGCAGATCAAGGCCAACACTTCAACTGCCAGACATGGAAGCATCGCTGGACCCTGTAGGTGGTGACTATATACATCTGTCCACTCTCAGCTTTTCTTTCTCTTACTCTCCCTTGCTCTTATCCTGCCTTTCTCTCCGCTGTGCATTTTTCTCCTCCCCAGAAAGGTTATGACAGCACCCAAAAATGTTAACTTACCTATTGATTCAAAATTGTTAAAATAAATCTTACCAATATATGTTTTCATACACCAATTATTTAGTGTCGTTTCGCTTTAATCCACCCCAAAGGAATTATTGATAAAACCTGGGTTACCCCCTCCCCCCTCTTTTCCTGGAGCGAGTCGTAACACCCACCCACCCAAAAGAAGAGAAAGACTGGACATCTGGACTAATTAGCAAGAGAAGTGAGGGAATCATTAACCACTAGAAGATAAAATAATAAGTAATAAGAGAACCTCACCTGTAGCCGAGGAACATTAATGCCTTTGTTTGCAAAAATGTATAAAACGTTTTGATAGTGGGTGTACTTGCTTTGTGGAATACCAGCGAGCACCCAGGCTTGCAGAGCTCGGAAATAAATAATCCATGTCTCACTCTAGTGCATAATTATTGGCCAGTTGCATACCAGGTAACAAATCCAATTTTTCTGGACAACATTTCCACTGGGCTGTCTCAGAGGTGGCTGCACCACAGGGACATGGCCGGGGCAGGAGGAGGCAGGGGACAGATATGGAGGCCCCTGAGGCGGCAGTGGGGTCACAGGGATGTCGTGACTGGGGAGAGGCTGGGGCTGCAGCCCCATGAGCGGGTTGCCAGGTGGTTGGTGTGCTGGGGTCTCTGGCTCTGCGTGGCCCAAGGAGGTCTGTGCTCAGGATCCTGGAACTGCCCAGCCTGTAGATTGCACGGCCCAGAGTTGGCAACCACAACCCAAGTTTCTGGCTTGAGTTTCTGACAATGCTCAGCAGCTGCAAGTGCTGTCTGAAAGCCTCAGGGAGGAGGGAGGGAAATCGCTCGTGCAACAACTCTGTTTCATACATGCTTTGCTGCAGAAAAACACTGGGCTTTTTCCCTTTTTGATGAGAAGGACTGGTTCCAGATGCATGACATTGCTTCTAAAGAAACTGTTGGTGTTAGCAGGAGTTGTAGTGCCCTGAGTTTGCCCAGCTTAAAACTGCCAGCACTAGAGCATTACTTGTTCCTAGGGCACTAGCTCTTTCCTTTACATCCCGGGTTTATTTGGCGTTTAAACAATATCGTGGAATCATAGTATGGTTTGGGTTGGAAGGCACTTTAAAGAACATCTAGTTCTGACCCTCCTGCCATGGGCAGGGACAGCTTTCCTGAGACCAAGACACATAGTTATGTGTTCAACTGTCTTGTTAACCTCTCAGTAGCAGAACTTGATTTATGTGATTATAATGAACAACTTAAGTACAACTTATACTAAACTTCCTTGAATACAAAGTGATGGAAGTCAACATGAAATGCTACATTCCAAGGTCTCTCTAACACTGACACCAACCTGACTCCTTCTCCCTCAAACAACAAGTTTTAAACTTCACAGTTAGTGACAAGCACTTGTTTCTCAATCGAGTCTGCAAAGTGCTTTTAGCTGCTACACTGGACCTTTAGTTAAAGGAAATATTGGTGAAGCTGCAGTAGAAGAGTTTAACTGACCAGTCACAAAACAGAGGTGCAGCAGGACCTCTGGTCCCAGCATCCTCCAAGTTAAGCTCAGAGGAAATCCAAATCCTAACCTGTCATCCCATCTAACCGGAACCTGCATGCTTTTCCTGGCATTTCCCAGAACAGGTACATCACCTACTGTTTGGGCTAAACTCTCATCATTTTCCAGCAATTCTTAGGAATGCCAGAACTAGAGAGCTCTTAGGTATATAAGTAGCATCAGGAAGTCAATTAACAATCTGGGTTTGAGTGTCAATAGTAAGACTTTATTTCAGGTATTCTCTTTAGTCATTTAAGATAATTGTGTTGTCCAATATACTCCCAATCAGTGAACTATTCCATTTTCTGGTATGCTTGTATAGATTTCCCTAGGAAGTGTTAACAGTAGTCTCAAACCAGTGCTGTAGCTAAGGAAAGAGAGATCAAAAACCTTTTCACTGTTTTCATTCATTTCTCTTTGCCACAATCAGCAAACACAATGAAATGAGAGTTTCTGTGGCTTTAGGCTGCTGCTCAGTGGAAAATTGCTATCACTTTGGGCACCTCTTCTGGTCGTATTGGTGGTTTCCTCTGGCTGCCAGGCTGCAGGAATTTCTTTATTGTGGGGATATTGCTTATTCTTGCTTTAAAACTCTACAAAACAAAATCAAAACAGCACTGTGCTTAAGAAGCATTGTAACTGTCAGACATTTTGATGTTATCCATGCTCTAAAAGTAACATTATGCATTGATGCTGCAGAAGAAACTACATGGTTCCCTCTATTATGCTTTTGTGGCTGCAAAGACAGAAGCTGGCAATAACCATCAGTATTTGAGGCCAGCTAAAAGTACTTAGCATATTTGGTTATTTTGTATGTGACTTTTCTCCTCACCCTCCCACTCTCCCCTGTTTCTCAGCCAGTTTAAATCAGTGGTCCTTTCCAATGCATTGTCCATTAAAACTCTCCATTCATTTACCTGCAAGAGAGGAAATTTGGCAAGGATATCAGGTTTGCACTCTTCTGCCATTAAAATGATTTCAAGTAACTGCACATCTGCCCTGCTTAACTGGTTGCCAACAAGAAAGTCTTGTCCATGGTCTTTCAAAACCTAAAAACACAGAACCAGATGATTTTTTTCTCTCTGTTACTTAATATGGTATCTTCAAGGCAAGGTTATACATTGCACAGAGTTGTCCTTGAAAGAAGGAAATGCAGTACAAACACCTGTAGTACAAACAAATGGTGTGATCTTCCTAGGAATGATTAATCAGTCCCTTCTTTTCTGTGTTTCTTTCTGTCAGCTCAGCTGTACTCCTCTTGTCTTCCCTTCTGTATCTTAAGTAGTCGATGCTGCTGCATTGAATGCTAAGCTTCATGAGATACAGAAGGAGCTGTAATGCTTTTACATAGATTGTATAGTAGAGGGGCATCTGCACTTCAGGAGGAATGCCAACTTTACATAAAAGCTGATGTTATAGTTTTATTTGTCTAAAACAACATACAGACTGAAACATGGACCTCTGTAAAGCTCATAGTGTCCTGGGTTTTTGCAGCTTTGCACATCTCCCAGATCTGTAGTGCCTTCTGTACCCTCTGTAGTGTCCTGTCTCCATCCTCCTCTCAGCCCTATCAAAACCAGAGCAGTATCTCTAAGTGTTTTCCTCAAGAAAAATTGTTGGTGTAGATTCAGGATGGAGTTTCAGGAGAACAGTATCGATTAAGCTACAACATCTTTGCCACATACCTTCTCAAAGACTGGGAAGTATCTGTTTGTGGTCTTGTCCACCATATTAGCAAAATGTTGCTCTTTCTTATCTGCTGGTTGGAAACCATAGGACATGAGTTGCTCGTTCAGATCAAACATTCCTTCCACATACATGTCGATTCTGAAAGGAACAGATCCAGTTGGTCAAGTCAAACACAGTAGGTCTGAATGCCACAATAGCTACTGGCATAACCCCGCTGAGGTGCTGGGAAATCTCCACCTTTTCGATCTCACATCTATAGCTTGGAGTAGTTCCCTCCAGAATGCAGTTGCATCAAGGGACATGGGAGACGCTTGGGTGAAAGACAAATGCAAAGTGCCTAACCCAAACCTAAACACTGTCCCTCTTCCACTTCTCACTAGGGGTGATACTTCTCTGTACTATGTTTTTTCTGAACCTGAGTACAAAATAGGTGTGTCTTTTAAACTTGTGTTAAAAATCCAATCAGACCTAGTAAGTTAAACAGTGGGGCTATACAATTCCTAACAAATATCTTGAATTTGTTTACCAGTACTTATTAATTTGAAGCATTTCAAAAGACCTCCAGTCAAACCATGTGCCCTAAGAGTCCTGTTGTTAAATAACCAGTTACTAATGCTAATTCTACCCTAATTCCTGGCTCTTAGAAGGAGGAGGTTTTTTGTTCCCATCAAACACATGTCCCTGAGTCTGACGTGCTGAAAATGCCTGCTGTGACATTCTGCAGAAAAAACTGAAGAGGAGCAAGAGTAAGACAGTCTGCACTCCTGACTGCTTTCTTCTGATAACTGTCTTGACCTTGGACTGATGATTCATGAGCAGCCTTGCACCACGCTGCCCATCTAATCGAGCTGGATATCACTGCCCTAGACATCACCTGCAGTCGCAGTCAACACGTGCTGCATGAAGCACTGCTCTATCACCCTGAATTCAGCTGTGAGCTGGGATATTCCTGTGTTACACAGAGATGTAGCGTGAACTGTGGTCTAACAAGAAAACGTGGTACTGTCACAGTACAGGGCTCTCTCCTTCAGGTCCTTCCCGTAGAGGTTGTACTTTGTTGCTATGTAATTGGCAATGGCTCTGCTCTGCACCATCTTCATGCCATCAATCTCCACCATTGGCACTTGCTGAAAGAGCAGGGATCCATCTAGGGAAAAGGAGATAAGACAAGGAGACACTCAGTCTCTGAATGAGAACCATTGGGGGGGGGTCAGGCAAAGTAACCACACATATTATCTTTTATTTAGAATCATTGAATCATTTAGGCTGGAAAAGACTCTTAAGATCAAGTCCAACTGTAAACCTAACACTGCCAAACTCCACAACTAAACCATGTCCCCAGGTGCCACATTTACACACGGTGACTCAACCACTTCCCTGGCAAGCCTGTTCCCATGCTTGACAACTCTTTTGGTGGCAATCTTCCTCATTCCTACAAGAAGGGAGGGAAAATGCTTACCATGAAACAACCATTTCTCAGCGACACATGACTAACTTAATATTACAGCAATCAACTTCTTGAAGATTCTTCAGATTTGAGCAAGCACCCAAATGCAGAACTTTTAGTTTTCATGCCCAGAAAAAGACATGTGTGGCATGGCCCTAACTCACATGATTTTTGTGGAGATTAATACAGATGAGAAGGACTGAAGGATGCGATCCAGCAGTTTCTGTCATGCGTTGGTAAGTATTATGAAAATCTGGACAATTTAAGGACTTTTCAGCATATAATGCAAATAGAAAAGCATACAATATCTTTGTGACTTCTATGCTGACTTTGCACAATGGCATCTCATCTGTACAGGCATGAGGTGGGGAATCACAGGGGAGTTCCATGAGATTCCTGCAAGACCCAAGTATCACTTGATGTGAGTCTGCAGAAGCCTTGACCTAGCAAGGAAGAAGTAAAAATACCTCCAGAAAGAGATCACCAGATCACAAGAGCGAGGGAGAATTTTTGCTTTATGGAATACTATTTCAGATCAGATAACTGATCAGCTATGTCTCTCTTTGCATCCACTGTAAGGCAATCATGCAGAGAAACTCTCTGCTTTCCAGGGTGTATTTACATTTATGCTTGTCTCTCAAAATATTTTTTGAAAGGCAGCAGGTTGCAGCCATTATTCCTGAAGGAGAGCAGGACTGCACATGCCAACCCTCGCTCAGTCATTTTTCAAAAGCCAAAGGAAGAGCCCAGACATGTAATATGATTTGGAGGAAATGTGAATATCATGTTCACAGAGATGAAAGCTGAAGCTAGAAGATGAGTAGTTGCCTTGGGAAGCAGGAATGCATCAGAGCTACAGGTTAAACTCAGAGATCTGGAACTCTGTTTTCATATGGATTATAAAACAACAACATCGTAGGCAACCTAAAATGCTAATGAATTTGAAGATGATGTGAGGACAAAAACCTGTACTGTGATAGGACAGGAGGCAATGGACACAAACTGAATCAAAGGAGAGTCAGTCATCTGAACTTACAGAAAGGCTCTTTCACTGTGGGAAATTACTGTGCATTGGCACAGCTTGCCCAGAGAGCCTCCATCCTTGGAGATACTTAGAACTCAGCTGGACATGGACCTGAGGAAATAGTTTGTAGGTGGTGTTGCTTGAAAAGGGGAGGTGGCATAGATGATCTCAAGAGGTGCCTTCTGACCTCAGCCCTTCTGTGATTCAGTGAAGATTGAAGCAACTGGGTGATGAGGCCACCTAACACACTGCAGTGTGTCTGTGATACCTCAAGCACAATCAAGTCTAGATTTTCTTTTTAAGAGACTAAGACTTC